TATCGGCAGCAGCCGGAGTACCAACCTAGAGGTGATGAGTTGGTGCTTGCTGGAAGAGGGAATGCTTCACCTGCTCACTACAGCACTTCACCGCAGCCATACGTTCGAGGTGACGAGATGGTCCGACATCAGCCGGTGTCTCCCATGTCTATGCGTGACCCGAGAGGTGATGAAATGGTTCGTCACCAAGTGTCGCCCATCGCTACGAGGGATGTCAGAGGCGATGAGATGGTGCGCCAACATCAGTCTCCCATTGCCTCCAGAGACTTCGCACCAAGCCCTCAAGACTACCAGTCTCGCAGCCAGAACTCTTATGTATCGCAGCGATCCGAGCTCTCGGGAACCGAGATAAAGGCAACGACCATGCCCTCTGTCCCTGCTTCCTTGGTGCCAGGAGTCGACCCCGGTCTCACACAAGATGTCACCGATCGCATTTACGAGGACCGACGTCAGACAAGGCGTTACACAACCGAGAGTATCACGACGCCTACACGTGGTAGGCAGCATCCCGGATACAACGACCAGACCTACATCCCGCCGCGACACGACAATCGGCAGTCTGTGGCTTACAGTGGTGATATGCATAGAGGACGCGGTCCTTCACCTGCGCCCCCGCATCAAAGCATGAGAGGACGAGGTCCCTCACCGCAGCCCTACGCTCACGACATGAGAGGAAGAGGTGCCTCCCCTCAGCCTTATGCTCAGGATATGAGAGGCAGGGGCGCATCCCCCCAGCCCTACGCTCAGGATATGCGCGGCCGTGGCGCCTCTCCGAACCCCTACGCCCACGACACGAGGGGACGAGGTGTGTCGCCTAACCCCCGCCACGATATGAGGGGACGCGGCGTTTCGCCCAATCCCCACCACGATATGAGACGCGGCATTTCTGTCAGTCCTCATCCTCAACATCGCGCCCGTGGTCTTTCACCGATACCGCCGCCGCAGTCCAGACGAGGAATGTCCCCCAACCCGTCTCACACGATCAAGCGCAAGTCGGTCAGTCCGGCGCCGCCCCCGGATCATCGCAGATTGTCTGGCGTTCCCTTCGGTCCCGACTCATATGATGCGCTCAACCCGACATTGTCCGCCACCGGCAGCGATATCTCCAGACCCGACCCGGATGAGAAGATCATCACCCACGATGGCCGTGAGATTGATCCTTCCGATCACCTGCCCATGGACACTTGGGCGCCGGAGCCCGAGCCGAAGGGTCCGAAGACCCCAGCTACAGCATCCGTACGTTCCAGAGTCTCCATGGCTCCTCAACCTGCGCCTACGAGCGGTCGTCGTCAGCTTCGTATAGCCGCTCGGCCGCAATCCCAGGTCTCGCCCGTCTCCTACGACTCGGATCGGTACAACACCCCGCCCGCTCCGAACAGCGGTGCCCGGAACCGGTTGCAGAAGAAGACGCAACGCATGTCTGCTCTTCCTTCCACCTCGCCAGCGGGATCCAGTCCTCTGGCGCCCATCTCTTCGCACAACTACCAGGATCACGGCAGCGACTTCACGCCGCCTCGCATGTCACGCGCGAGCACGTGGGACTACCCCAGTGAGAACCACGCTCCTCAATACGGCAGCTCCCCCGGCGGCATGCGCGGCGGCCCCCCGATCCCGGCGAAGATCCCTCTGCCCATCATGAGCGGAGCCAACAACGCTAGCGAGAGCGAGTGGGCTCTCATGCAGGAGATGAGCCGCATTGACATTGGTGCTGGGCGCTCCAGACGTCATCGTTACTAGTTCAGCATATCACAGCCTTCAGCATTGGTAGCGACGGATTCATGAGTTCACGTGTCAATTTTCTCACGACGGACTTGTTATTGTAATTGTACTATATAATGGTTGCGGGGTTTTGTGTTTCTGGATCGGGATTTCTTTTGGTGGAATGAATTGGGAAAACATGGCTTGGGTTACGGGAGATGATGGGCGGCGGAATTTGTATGGTAATGCTGCAGACAGCCAGAATTCCATCTTTTCACATTCATCTTTTGGCTACATGTGACTCTTCGATTCGGTTCCGGCGTTTGCTGACCATAAATAGTTCGATCCTGTAGGGCTGACTCGTTCCTCATCCCCTCCTTTTGCGCCGTCAAAGCGATATGGTCGTTCAAAATGCCAAGCCCCACAGGTCAACTACGTTCCCCCTGGCCTCAGAGCCGGTCGCTCCGTGCGGGCTGTATGTATGCATTGATCGAGTCAATTCCGTCATTTACGAACGAAGACTCTGAGAACATTTCATATGGAAAGAGAACTTTTTTTTTGAATCATGTATTACATGCCATTGGACCGTACACGGTACACCCCGCAAACGTTTTAGCTATACGATGAACATGAGTTCGGACGTAACCTTATTCTCCCTCCCCCCTAACACAGAAATGAATCTTAATTGAGAGTCGGTTATTCCGACGTCAGCCTCTGCACAGAACCAGACATTCCGGTCTTTTTCGTGTTCCAGGAATTCTCAATAAAAAGATGTCGAGCCCGTGTTCACACAACCAGGCCCGAGTCCCCCCACTCCGTCACCAACTCTGCTTAATGATCCTGCTGTGACAAAGTGCCGCTCTTTTCACGATGTCCAGCGCAACGTTCGTTTCCAGGCTGCGCAGCCTGTCGCTACCGCTCCTCCTCCTCTTCCTCCTCCAGGCCGTCTGCCTCACCGCGTCGCCCACGCCCCCGCCCGCGCTCGGCAAGCGCGCGGGCGCGTTCCCCGACTTTTCCGCCGACTACGATGGCCGCGTCAAGAAGGGCGAGTACCTCCGGACCCTGATGCCGGTGGACAACGCGGGGGCCGCGGCGGCGAACGGCGGCGCGTCGGTGGTAAGCCCGTACCAGGACCCCGCGGGCACGGCGCGGTGGGGATGGAGTTTGGATACGTGGTGGTACCCCTACGACGGCGGGCTGAAGCCGAGCAATCTGAAGTTTCTCAGCGAGGCGATGGGTGACACTGCGTTTCCTGTGGATGAGAAGAACGGGGCGGTGTATTATTATGACCACGACAAGGAGTTTAAGCAGGCGAACGGAGAGACGGGGGAGGTGAGTAAACACCCCGAGGGACCTTTTACACTCTGTCCCGGAGTTGGGGCCCCATCTTATACCCGAGATCTATACTAACTTCTCTCAGCCGTCGCTGGGCTCGTACAGCAACGTCGTCAACCCCGCCGCCGGCGCCCTCATCTTCGACGTCAACATGTCCCCCAAATACGCCGTCAAGGAGTACGGCCTCGGCACCGTGCCCGACATGGACACGCTCTCCGACTTTGCCTTCTTCCAGTGGCTGCTCGGCTGCCAGGCGAAGAAGGTCGACCCCAAGAGCCTGCAGGTCGTCTTCCGCGCGCACATCACCTACGGGCCGACGTACAACATCGTGCTGCAGGCGCTGAAAGACGCGGGGCAGAAGCGCGTGCCGGGGTGGAGCGACCGCGTGACGTTCAAGATGGGCACGAGGGAGGGGGACGCGATCTTGGGCAGCACGCACGGCGCGGGGACGGCGTGGATGCTGATTCAGCATAAGGATACGCTGGGCGTGAAGGAGATCACGGAGGCGGTGGTGTGGGGGATGGTGCAGCCGAAGAGTCTGGCGGATACGCCGGGCCCGGCGGAGGGGTTTGAGTTTGATGCGGATCGGGGGTCGAGTGTGTTGAATATCAGGTTTACGATTAAGGATGCGTAGAGGGGTGGTTTGCTAAAGCTTTCAGCGGGTTCTCTAAGAAAATGACTATGGTAACTGAGATACGCGCCAACTCTCGTGTGGTGTTTGCTGTACGATGGGTCTTCATCCGTCTGGTGATTAGTTCTGGCCTGGGAGAGAATCTTGGTTTGATGAAAGTGCTTGAGGTACGGATCTCTCCTTTTGTGTCCATAGATCATGAGACCATTTTGGTGGTTGGTTTTGTGCCCTCCATCTATGTGAATGTACCATGGGGAGGGGCCAACGAGCTGGGGGTGATGAGTTTGGACAACTGATACCGCAGGTGGAAAAGCCCGGCTCGTGATAGTACTCCTGTTACCTAGAGGGAAAATGGTCAACACATGGCCTCTAGCCGTCCACAATGGTTTTTACCTGCCTAGTGGAACAGACCTTCTCACTCGCCACCTCCTGACATGAGAGCTTCAGTAACCCGTTCGGGCCCAATCCGATCGGCTCCACTACGTGCGCCGCCGCAACGTTCGGCCTCGGCGCGGATTCGACTTTGTGATATTCAGAGAGTTTACTTGTTAGTAAGATTGTGTAGGGTTTCTGTACTGTTTCCCTTCACCGACCAACAGAGGACATGAGTTGAAGTGCTCGCATGGTGTTTCCCAACTCATGCCGCGAACAAGGCGTAGCTGTTGTCTTCTTTTTGCCGGGGCCGGGAGCTACATCGTAACTACAGACTCAGTGGTTGAAATATTATTCGGGCTGTGATTTCTGCTGTTGCTTGAGGAAGCAGAGCCTCACAACAAAGCTCGCGACGCTCGGATATCCCCGTGGGAGCAGAGGAGAGGACTTTCAACCTTCACATAACGGGAATGACGTCTAAGGAAGCAAATCTTCTTCTGTTTATAGTCTAAGACGAAGATGGTAACCGATACCGAGACCGAGACCGAATCATGTCGCCCAAAGGAGCAGATATCGGCGACCATAAATGCAGAAAGGGCGCCGCTTTGATGTATCATTTATATTCCACGCGCGTGAAACCCCATTCGAGGCAAGAGGACGGAGTGTTGTGGGCCACAATATGAGAATTCGGTGTGACTCAGTCACAATAGGAGAACACGGAAAAGTCGGCGATTGGCTGGGAGTTGAACGTGAATGTTCTCTCACAAACGTCGCAGAGCCTCCTGTTCTGTATTTAATAACTTGATAGGGAAATTTCGGAGCCTGTAGTATGTGGTTTGCGACAGCTTTCCCCGAGTTATCATCCAATCCCTACGAGCCACTGTCAAGTACAACTCCGCTTGGCTCTCGATCTTCTGTTATATCCCCCCTATTCATCAACTATTGGAATACAAACAACTACACTATGCAGTCCTCGAATGTTCTCGTCGTCATTGGCAGCGGCGGCATGGGAATTCCCGTCGCGCGCCGCCTCGGCGTCGGCAAACGGATTCTCCTCGCGGACTTCTCGGCCGACAATCTCACCACTGCGCAGACGATCTTGGCCAACGAGGGGTACTCCGCGCAGACCGCTCTTCTAGACGTCGCCAACTACGCGTCTGTCACGGAGCTTGCGCAGCAAGCAGCCAAGATGGGTTTCGTAGAAACCATCGTCCACACCGCAGGGGTCGGCCCCTCCGCCGGCTCTGCTCGTCGAGTATACGAGATCGATCTTCTGGGCACAATCAACGTCATCGACGCGTTCCTGCCCGTCGTGCAGGCCGGCTCGAACCTGGTGTGCATCTCGAGCATGGCAGGACACCTTTGCCCGCCTCTAAGTGCCGAGTTTGAGCGCCATCTCGCCACGGCGTCCCGAGAAGACGTTTTGAACCATTCGGATTTGAAAATCGACGATTCCAGCAGTCGGGGCCCTGCAACGGCGTATGGAATCTCCAAACGGGCGAATCTAGTTCGCGTACAGGCGTCTGCTGCCGCGTGGGGCCGCAAAGGTGCTAGTATCAATTCCGTGAGCCCGGGCGTGGTTTCTACGGAAGCCGGTCGTAAGGAGATCGAGGGACCGGCGGGAAAGTTTGTGGAGTCGTCTCCAGCGGGAAGAGCGGGCGCCCCTGAAGACATCGTTAATGCCGTTGCGTTCTTGGTCAACGCCGCGTCTTGCTTTATTACTGGGACTGATATTTTGGTAGACGGCGGCGTCACAGCGTCGGTCAGATGGAGGGAGGTGTAGTAACCGTCTATCGAGGAGTGCAATTCTTCTCGATCATGTTCAAACCAGCGGGGACGGGGTTGACAAGCCGCAGCGCCAGTGCGCTTGAAAAGAAATCGATGCTTAGAAGTGGCGCAATATAAGGTATTACAGAAACATCATATTCTATCGCAAACGATCTATCAGAGCAAGATTTTGTCTTGTAAAGCTTGTAAACCATCACTTTGATGGTAAGGTCGTCTGAGCCATAGAGGTTACTGACACATTTCCTCCGATGTAAAGACAGCTAAACGTAGTTCGTCATTCCTAGCTACGGCATGGTCAAGGAAGATAGCGTATCAATTTGTTTTGATAGCATAAGTTCATATAAGTTCACACAAAGATGTTTCGCTGAAATCTACAACTACTTTTCCCGCATACTTGTCCAACGATTTACGGTGGCTCTGACAGACTATGTAGACTCAGGCATGTGTTGAGCGCCAAGCTCAGAAGCGTCTAGACCATTGCCTTTATCACTTGCAAGGGTTCGTATTCTCAAATCACGCCTAATTCCCAGCTCATGCTCTGTCGACTCTCTTCTCTCTTCTGACAATGGCACTGATTTGACTCTTTGCTCATAGACCGGCCGGAATCCATAGACGGTGTCGTTATTGCCCTAAGGAGTCTAAAGTACGCAAGGCTCATGAAACCTTTTTTTCTCTGAAGAACCGGGTCTTCCGTAACTACCTAAGAGGTCTTGGGAGTAAATCTCAAAAGAAAGTAAGTGGTGCTCGTCTTGCTCGACAAGATAATCGCTATCAAGAATTGAGAGTTTGGGGAAACTTTTGTCAACCTGGACTGGCAGACCGTCACATATCACAGAATCACACCCGTCACAGCGATGGAAGCATGAACTTGGCACTATCGATCATCTCGGTGCCCGATTGTGGCACAGCAGCCTTTTTAGGGTCACACAAAGAACTACAACACAATTATATCCCATGCACACGACGGACACAGCCTTGTGTTGGTGTCCAAATCTGGCAAGCTTGTCAGCGGTGGACCAGCATAGTGGTACTGTAGCCGATGAGTGGATATCGTCAAGGGTCATGATAGGGTCAGATACGGCGAGAGCAGCGTATTGAGGCCGCACTGGTGGCCAAATCATGCATGTGGCCAAACGGGGAACGAGTTGCGGCGCTTAATCCGAGTACGCACTGGGCGAGGGTCTTGGCGAAAACGACAGCCTGATGCCAAACAAATTACCGCAGATGTCCCGCCTCCCAACTCTGACACGTCAACTGTCTGCCCCCACTCGTCCCCTGTTGTCTAGCCGTTCATTCTCGTCAAGGAAATACAGATAATAACCTTCATCAAAGCAAGCGGCCCCTCACCTTTGCACGCATCTCTCAGATCCCCCGATTGCCCAGACAGGATGTCTGCTAGCAGGAAGCTGCTACCCTTCTTCATCTTGTTGTTTGCAAGAGCCGTATTGGCAGATGGTGGAGATGACTTTGCCAACAATCTCTTTTCGGACCTGGGACCGTAAGTCTGCAGAATTTATTCTTCCAAGTGTTCCATACTAAGCAATTCCCGGTGTTCAGGCTGCTGGCGCTCTTTGGAGAACGAGTGACCATGCAATTCATGAGTGGTTCAATGGGTTGGGCCGATAACATCATCCTCGCAATGGCTCCTCTTGGTATTATTACTGCTATTGTAGGAGCTATTCGTGTAGGGGGCCCGTCCTGGCTTAAGGCGGTGATCGGCAGAGCTCGGGAGAACCTCGCAGTTGCCGAGGCTGAGCTCATGTCGTCAACCTCGCAAGAAGTCTGTGAGCTGTGGAATGGACAAGAGGTTGTGAGGTGTATGGGATCGCCTTCAGTCACCGAGTTCATCTGTTTGTTGCCCGCCAATGCGCAGGGCAGTCAGAGAACTCCTGAAATAAAGGTGGACACAGATTTAAGTGCATTGGACGATTATGACAAAGATCTTGAACGAATCGGTAAGAATTCTTTCATTTTATGACTGGCGGATTTCTTACTTTCCTCTTAGACTTGAACATACACGCCGACATTAAACGAATGCGAGCTTCCCGAGGCAACCTCAGCGACAAGGACTCAGAAGATACTACAACACCACGATCCGACGAAATGATCATAATCAAACGGAATGTGTCTCTCGACGCGCCAAACATCTCCTTAAATACGCATCGTCAATCATCGCGAAGCGAGTTGCGCTTTGTTGCAGCTTTTGGAACGATCCTTCAACTTGGTGTCCTTGTATACTCTGGATTCGCTACGTATTATCCGACCCTGAAGTTCCCGAAAGATGATAATTCAATCTCTGGCTACGCATATCCTTGCGCTGCAACTGGGACTTTCATTCTAGTAGTTGGGATGATGCTATGCGCTCACGTCGTGGAGAGCAGTACAGCGGAGGAGCGATTTCAAGCGAAGACAGGGAGGGACAAACAAAAGGGTTCGAATGATTTGGCTCCAACAAACCAAAACCGTTAGCGACCAGGTTTTTGGATCCTTTGCGATATACGCAAAGGATGATCAAACGTTCATCACGACATCAAGGAGATCCCAACATGATGAGGTTGAACAGTCTCAGTCCGTGACAGACAAGGGAAAGCATTCGACCTCAGATGACTTAGATCAGACTGCTATACCTCCGCCAGACATGCCAATCGCAGATGATGAAGGAGCTTCCATAACTATCCAGTTCAGGACTGTCCTTGGAACTATGACCACACTTACGGGGTTTGTCTTACAATTTGTCGGTTTACGAGGACTACACTGGTCCGCCTCGATTGCTCAACTTGGTGCCGTCTTCTTGATGGTCTGTTTGAAGGCATGGGTTCGCCGTGGACTAGCGACGCCCCCCAAAGCCATATCTTTGCCACCTGGATATGAGCTTGACTGGTTCGCAAAGACATTGGGAAATGTTGATGAAGCGCCCTGGAACAACGATGCAAAACCTGGCACCGGACCTGTTCGGAAACTCAACAAATTTTCCAGGACCATTAGCAGAAAGTCTGATGGGCATGAATCTACACAGACTGGTCCGAATGGTATCCCAAAGAGTTCGGAGGGGGGTTTCGATAGTTCATGGAGAATCGCGAATACCGGGGATGCGCATTTAGGGTACCAGCAACGGAGCAAGAGCCAAGTCGACGCACACAGAGAGGAGCAGAGTCCAGATAACTCTGACGCCACCGTCCCAATGGTTTCGAATGCCCAGACAGTGCTGAACAATCGGAAAGATCTTGGTCATTTGGCCAAATGGAGCGGACCGGCTTCTGCGGAGGCTGTATCTCTCGCCAGGGCAATCGAGATTACGATGAACACATTGATTGGCTCTAAGCCTATTGAATTTGCCTCTATCGATTCAGCTTCTATCGGTCCTACGTCTATCAGTCCTACGTCTATCGATCATGGTTCTATCAATCATGGTTCTATCAATCATGATTCTATCGACCATGATTCTATCGACCATGCTTCTGTCGGTCTAGCTTCTGCCGGTTCAGCTTCTACAAACGTTACCCCTAATTATTCCATGGACGTTCCTCCTATCGTCACGTCTCCCCATGATCATTCGCCTATTGGCCTTGATTCTCCTCCTACCTTCTACTGGTCTCTTGACGCTTGTTATGGTGGTTTCACCCACGACACAGTCAACTTCCAACTACAGCGACAGGCCGATGGGAAGTGGAAAGCGTTTGCGAATGAACATGAGGCAGCGTTGTCATTGTGGCTATCCTCTGTCAATGACGACAAGCGAAAAACAGCGAAGCTGCCCAAAATCCGGGAGCGACCGGGGAACAAAATAAACAGGGAAGATGACGCTCGATTACGCATGGAGGAGTCGAACGGAGAGCTGGGCCTGCGGCTCTTGGGGTTACATACTGCAGCCCTCCATCAAGACCTCCGGTGGTGGGTGCCGAAGGACTTGCTTCGCATCTTTGAAGTTCAAGAATGCGACCAACATCAAGAGCCTCAAGAGCCTGAAGAACGCCGATACCATCAAGATGATAATCAAGAACAAATTTTCGAAATGGAAACCCACAGAGTCATTGGGTATGGTCAGCAGAAAGTGTGCCTGCAAGACGCGAGGAATGAAATCAAGAGGAATCAAAACTCAATTCGATTCAGTCGGAAAGATTTGCCCGAGGACATCACAGACGATGATGACGACGAAATTGCCAAGGATGTTGGGACAAATACCGTTCTTGCAACAGAGTCATTATCTTCTATGCCGATGCTTTTTGCCCAGCACATCTTTTCAGCATTCATGTATGCTGTAACAGGCATGAACAAGAAAACGACACTCTTCCAAGATACTGCCGACGTACAACCCAACACTAGTGGCGACAGCACTTGGACATCCTTCACGCTCCGGAACGCAACTCTATCTGCAATGATTTCGGAAATCGAAAGCTCTGGTTTTGGAAACCTTGCAGATATCTATTTCAGCGTCATACCGCCGCTGAGTGAAAAACACAGACTTCCCCAGGCCGATGATACGATTATTGCAATGGCAAGAGAGAAAGCCGAGCAGCATGAGCAACTGCAACATTGGGAGGAGGCTACTAAGATATATCTGTGGCTTTTCCGAACAGCAAACACCTTCAAAGAACGAGGCATGCTCACCAAGGCCACTGCCGTTTTGATGGAGTATCTGAGACAAGTTTCCTCCACTATTGATCTGAGTGAAGGAGAAAGTGGTTATATTCTTGAGCCTCTGAAGGAGGCCAAGAGAACTATCGAGAAAGAGCTGAACAAGTCTGCTGACCATCAGGTTCTGATGAGTCTCATGGCTCTATATGCAAGACAGGGCCGCGAATGGAAATGCGCTACATTTTGCGAACAGGACGCCCAAACCAGTTGCGACGAGAACGACGAACGACTGGACGAATTCAACTTCACGTATCTGCATAAGAAAGCTTGTGGAGACGGTTTCGACTTAATCTACACTCAGCGCTCAGATTTGAATGCGAAAGACATCCTCCGTTGGATGCCCCTTCATTATGCTGCCAGAGCTCGCTCCTGGTATGCGGTTTACGAGTTTCTTGATCGGGGCGCTGATGTCAGCTCCGTTGACCTCAATGGATATACACCATTGCATTACGCCTGTCAATTCAGCATGGAAATGGATAAGGATGCTGATAACAGGGAAATGGTAATTAAATACCTCATCCGTGAAGACACCGACGTCAACTTTCAGGGCAGAGATGAAATGACGCCACTACACTATGCATCGATGGAGGGCAACGAGGGCATAGTGAGCGCATTAATTGAGGCCGGAGCGAGGGTAGACATCCCAGATGCCTCAGGAAACACACCGTTACTCTGGGCAGCACGCAAGGGGGGTTTAAGTAGCACCCAGAGCCTGTGGGAGGTTGCAAACAAAAGGCTACGAGATAATCACGGCAGAACAGCCTTACACCTAGCAGCCCTATCCGGATCAGCTGATGTAGCTGAATGGCTCATCACCAAAGCAGGGGCTGACAAAGAGGCTAGGGATCGCTTGAAGTTTCGACCTCTACATTGGGCGGCGATGAACGGTCATGAAGAGGTTGTGGATCTTTTCATCAATGAGGGTGCAGCAAAGAATGCTAAAATCTTAGATGGAGCTACACCACTACACTGTGCGGCTGCAGGGGGGCATGCCCATGTACTAGCGCTGCTCCTTCAGCATGGCCTAGGAACCAACGACAAATGCGAGGAAGGTAGCACAGCTCTACACAGCGCAGCTCAAGGCGGACATGGGAAAGCTGTGGCACTTCTTATCCAGCAGGGTGCAGACAAGGACGCACAACTTACAGGCAACAATGCCGTTGGCATCACACCACTACACCAAGCAGCCGAGGAAGGACATGAGAAAGTCGTAGCACTACTCATTCAGCATGGTGCAAACCCAGATGTTAAAGATGGCAAAGGGGCGACACCACTACATAATGCCAGCAAGGGAGGACATGAGAACATCGTGAGACTACTCATTGGGGTAGAGGTTGATATTGAGGCCCAATGCACGTCTGATGCTGATGGTGCATTTGAAGAATTAGGAACACTTACACCCCTTCACTTTGCTGTAGGTTATGGGCATGCGAACATCGTGAGGATTCTCATGGATGCAGGGGCTAAGACGGACGTTTTGGACAAAGACGAACCAAGTCGCCTGGCTGTGGCTGTCATAGGTGGCCACATGGAAATCGTAAAGCAACTCATTGAGAACGGGCCCGATGTCCATGAACAAAGGAACCAGTCAGTAGTTGGTTCACATTTGACCACGGGCGAGGCACTACTACACCTCGCTGCTAAAACCGGTGATGTGGAAACTGTGAAGCTACTCATTGAAAATGGAGTGGACAAGCACGTTGTGGATGCCTATGGCCAACAAGCGCGGCAAACAGCCTCCTGGCAAAGGCAAAGTGCAGTTAGAGAGGGAGGGCTCGAAATACGGATAGGAGCCACGAACATTAAGCGCAGTGCTAAGGACTTTGACCAAATCATTTTACTTTTAGAATAGCAAAATAGAATATGGAAGGTCACCAGTCAAATCTAATTTGACAGAAGCCATCTCAACTGGCAAGTTGGCCGAAGGTAAACATTCTGGCCTTGAGGTCTAATACTGCTTGGCTACAGTGAGTGGGATTTAAAACAGTTATCAGTACTTCGTATGGCTAATTGAGCCTTCTCTCGTTGTCTCATGTCCATCATCAATCCGATGAAGACCGTCGGCGTCTCACTAGTACTAGGACAGGAGGAATAGATGATGGCGACATGATCATAATGCTGGGTTGCCCGAGGCACAAACCCAAACACGACGTATCATGGCTATCACAGCACTTAAAATTCTCGCTAACCCCTAAGCCTCTTTATCTAGAGCTATGCTATCTGGGCAGATGCCTGGTACTGTCCAAGCTATTGGATTGTTTGAGGATAAGGTCGACATCTGATGATAACGGCTCTTATGATTCCATGTCGTCCCCTTTCAACATGGGAAATACTGGATGTGAAGCCAAACACGCGGATCGGGAGCAACATACAAGTATGAACACAACGTAAATTACAAGTCTATACGTCTATACCCGCTTATCAAAATGCATCATCATCACATACCGGGGGCCGAAAACTCTGCGCCCTTGAGCCCAAACACCCTCTTCAAGCTCAACCACAGCTCAAACGCGCCCAGCTTGAACTCAACCCTCAGGAACCCAACCCACGCGGACGCCAACCGGAACGCGTTCGGCGGCCACAGCAAGGACCCGCGCGCCCGCAGGTCCTCCAGCTGCTCCTCGAACACGGTGCGCGTGCAGTATCTTGCGAGGATCATGAAGGAGCGGATGGGGCCCTGGCGGGTGTGCAGGTTCTCGTCGAGGCTGCGGGTGAGGTCGTTGGTCTTGAGGATGAGCAGGATGATGCGGGGCACCTGGCCGAGCAGCTGGACGAGGTCGGCGAGCAGGCCCTCCTGCAGCGCGTCGCCCATCTCCTTCTTCTCGTCGGCGGTGCGCGTCTGCAGAACGGAGCCCTCGCTGTTGAGGACGCTCCAGTCGCGGCCGGTGATGGCGGAGGCGAAGAGCGGGAACTGCTCGTCGTTGATGTTGGCGACCTCCTTGGCGTACTTGCGCATGCGCTTCATGTCGCCGTCGATGACGGCGAGCCACATCTTGGCGTAGGAGCGCTGCAGGTCGCGGGGGATGTCGCGGTAGAGGCCGTGGTCGTAGAGGATGATGTCGAAGTTGTGGCCGCCGCGGAGGCCGCGCCGGGACTCGTTCTTGCGGATGGCGAGGTTGCCGCCATGGGGGTCGCAGTGCAGCGGCGCGTTGTGGCCGAAGATCATTTCGTTGAAGATGCGGGCGAGGCAGGCGGAGACTTCGTCGCGGTCGATGCCGTTGGCGTCGAGGTACTCGAGGTCGTCCAGGCGGTGGCCGGACACCCGCTGCATGACGAGGATGCGCTCCTTTGACCAGAGAACTTCGGGGATGACGAGGGGGTGCTCGGGGAGTTTGGCAAAATGGTCTCTGGTGCGGTTGGCGTTGTGCTCCTCTTCTCTGAAATCCAATTCCTTCGGCAGAGAGACGTCCATCTCGGAGGAGAGCCATTCGAGGTCGTATTCAGGGAAGAAGCGCTTGAGGGTCGAGAAGGTGAATCGTGTCAGGGCGAGGTCGAGGGGAGCCCACTGGCCGACGCCAGGGTGCTGCACTTTGACAGCCACTTGCACGCCGTCCTCCTTGACAGTTGCTGTGTGTACCTGAGCCAGAGATGCCGCGCCGATGGGTTCGTTCGAGAATTCCGAGAAGTAGTCCCATAGCTCCTTGCCAGTATCCTTCCGGAACATCTCCTCGATCGACTCGAACGACGACACGGGGCACTTGTCTTGCAGCGGGATGAAGGTGTTTGTCCATTCAGGCGGGAGTAGGTAGTTCATGGCACTCTATCTCGGTGTTAGCGGTGGTATCGCAGCGCTTTGCATGTGAAGGAGGCCGTACCAGGTGCTGGCCTAGCTTGATGAAGATACCGCCATTCTTCTCCAGAACCTTGAGTGTCCTATCGGCGCATCGCTGGTGGCAATCCTTGAGGATTTTCGACTGTAATTCAGGGTCTTCGATCTTTTCTTGCTGGTTCAAAGTCGTTCGGTAACTGCGCTACCATCAGTACGCTGGGTGGCGGATCATCGTCGAGGACAGACCTACTCATTGATGCAAACCGCCAATGCAGAAGCAACCCTCCCAGCACGCTCTGCTCCCTCATAACCGTATTTGATGTCGTCCCCGAACGCAAGCACACTCGCTCCCGCTGCACCGCCTCCCGAAGCAAGAAGCAGCACTCTGCTGCCCCTCTGGCCTCCCTTCGGAGGCGCCCTGCCAGGTGAGGCTCTTGACGAAGTCGACGAGAACCCGCGGGTGTTGCCTCTGGCGAACGACTGCTTGCTAGGCTGCGCCGACGGGCCAGCGCGACAGCTGGAGCACGTCCATGGTTGTCGAGTGGTGAGCCGGCGCAACGGGGACGAGAAAACGGAGAAGGCTTTCATCTGGACGCTGGCCCGCTGCCGCCAATAGTGTGACAATCGCAAGAGCAGTCCACGGCGACTGTCATTCTACGTTGGTCGTGTGTGTGTACTGTTATTTTTTGTTTTTCTCCTGGTGGCCAATTGTCGGTGTCGAGGTCGTGTGTTCGCTTTCTCAACAGTCGCTACAGATTGTGGAGCAGCCAAGGGGGATTGAGTTGTTCAACAGAGGGTCCCAGAACTAGTTGGAAATCATGTCGTCAGTCGACCTCGCAGCGACTTTTTTTTTCCTTCGCTGAATTTCCCTCTTTCACTGTTTGCCATTGCGCCTCCGGCCCACGGCGGTCGTTGGGGTAGGGTGGCGCCTGTAGCTTTCCCCCATGCGGCGCCGTTTTTTCATTCGCTCGGCTTGGTAGACCCCTGCCTCGGGGTCCGTTCGGGAACCGCCGGGAGAGAGAGAAGGCCTGGCCAGGCGCGCCAGGACCGCAGGCGAACTGCATGAGGTCACACTGCCCGATTGGGGGAACGTTCTTCGTTAAGTGGACTTCACGTGTCAAACACTCAAGCCACACGCATCGTGCGCCACGACGACAAGGTACTTTGTATCTGACCGCGTCCGAGTCGCGTCCGGATATCAATTAAGCAATTACAACAACCAACGCGCCAGCTCTCACCCACCTTGCCGTGCCACATCCGGACGACTACACGACACACCGGACCTTTAACAACACCACCACTTCGTCCAACCTGCTCAGCACCTCCGATTTACGACTTGCTCTCGACCAGCTCCCATTCATGCAACCAAACAAAACGCCAGAAAAGAAAACCGCCAGCAGCACCATGTTTTCCGTCGCGGGGCCCGTCGTATTCAGCGAGCGGACGCCATGGGACTTTAGACCCGCCGTCCCGTCGCCTCTGTCCTCATCACCCATTCGCGCGTCCTCGCCACTCTCTCCGATCAGCGACAACACCGTCCGCCAAACCCAGTCGTCGCCCATCCCCGCGCCAAAGTTCAAGTACGCATCGCGACCGACGAGGCCAAACCCGGTGCTCCGGAGACGCGAGGACGTGCAGGAGAACCGCCGCAAAGCTTTCCTCCAGAATGTCAGGCAGCGCCAGGATGACAAGACGTACCAGAGGCGGGATATGGAGGGAACAGTGAGTATTTCACGATGGTCATCGAGGTGGACATGCGGGGCTAACATGCGCGACAGCTTCTAAAGTCAGACTGGGACCGTGACATGCGGCAACGCTATTATTTCAAGCAGCTTGAGGGAGACGCGATATACTCCGAAGCGGACATAGAGGACGCGGCTACTCTTAGCCAGAACCAAAAGCAGCAGATCCCCGATGGCGTCGATGACATGATGGTCGACGCGATCGCACAGGAAGAGCAGGATGAGCTCGACGCGTTGCTCTCGTCTTACAGCCAGTCTTCAGACGCTCAGCAACCAGACAAGTCAGACCCTTACAACCTATCAGACGACGAAGACTATGATGAGCTGTTCATGAGCCTGGTGTCACAAGAAAGCGCAGTACCGGACGCATCTTCCCAGGAAATGGACATGTCCTGAAAAGCTGGTATCAAAGGTTGGCCGAGCTATCAGCAGGCCGGTTTGCATTGTGGAGTTTGGGTTTAGGCAGATAATTGCTTGGGGACAATGGTTGCTTTTTGGCGTTGGGCCAACTGCCCGGATGGCGTTGGCATTTTACTGGCTCTTGTACGGTTACAGAGTCACGATTATCATGAACGAGTCTGGTGAAAATAAAAGGTATATCCTGGATCTCCGCAGCGAGCTTCCTATTATTGCGGATTACAACTCTCGTCTGCGTTGAATGCTTCCTGTGCTGATGGCATATCTCCAACCAAGTCCGAAGGTGGCGATCCGGCGGCTTGCATCTACGTTGTGTCAGCGGCGTGGGCTCCAACTTGGGCCCTTTGAGATCGCTTACCTTCTGCATCCGGTCGACGATGTATTCTCTGTCCGCCGCGTTTCCATCTGAGTATGTTTTCTCCTCAAACTTGGCGACAATCTCCTTTACCAAAGCCTGCTGCTCCTCATAATGCTTCAGGTCTTCTGCGGGGGTCTTCTCGCGGTTCTTCTCCAGCCACTCAGGGAACTTGTTGTTCAGCTCCTTCATAGGCTCGTACAAGATCTCTTTGTTGGTAAGTTGCTCCATCATGCCCATGAGCATCTTGGAGAACTCTTCTTCGCTACCCGCGCCGTCCATGTTGCCGTCGCCAAGCTGCTTCATCATCTCCGCAAGGAAGTCCTCGGTGGACGATTCTGCGGCAGCAGCTGTGGCCTGGTCACCGGATGCCTGCATGCGCTCCATAGTCTTCCTGATCGTCTCCTGGAAAGAGCCGTCCGCGATGGGATCTGCGGCGGCGGCCGCCGCCGCTGCTGCCGCTGGTTTACTCGCGGAGGATGATGATGGTTTGGGTGGCTGCGCCGCCGATGCCGATGCCGTCGCTGATGCTGGTGGTTGAGGAGCAGAGTCTACCTCTTGTGCGGCTGCGTTAATCTGCTTAAACATGTCGTCGAATTGTGCTTGCATTTCCGGCTAGTGATGTTAGTCGGCGCGGTCAAGAAATGCTCGTCGATTGCCATACGTTTTTCTCCAGCTCCCCGATCAGATCTGCCATGCCAGCTTGGAGCTGCTTGGCAAAGTCGTCAGAGGAGAGCATGTCTTCCAGGGTCTTGTCATCCGCCTCGCTTGCGACAGCAGCAGGTCTTCCAGGACCAGCGGCAGTGGGCGCAGCTTTCTGTTCGGGCTTCTTGGGTTCAACGTTCACCGCCGCGAAGTCGTCGAGCATGTCTGGCCAAGTCAGTACTTCGGCTATCCATCGCAATATTTGCAGCCTCGTAGCGCACCATCTAGGTCGTCCAGGTCGTCCTCATCGGGATCCGGGACATCCTCCATAACGTCGACCGGCTTCTTCTCCTCGACCGCAGGCGCAGTGGCCTTCACCTCCTCGGGCTTGTTGGCCGTCCCGGCCGAATCACCGTCCTTTTCCATCGTTGCAATGCGCCTTAGCAAGTTTGAAAGGGTAATATGAGATGCGCGACGAAAGGCAAACGCAAGTATGTTCGAGTCCTCGGATGCTCAAATAAACAGGCCCGCCTTGCCGGGAACACAGATGCGGTCGGGACAAAGAGTAGTACGGAGCGCACCCAGGTTGCAGCGAAGACGAAAGCCCGGATCTGAGGTTGCTGCAGGCAACACAACCAACCGCACAAAGGCTGGAGCAAGGCAGGCTTGACTGTCGCACGGGGGCTGGGATGATGGCTTTGTACGTGCAGAAAGGCGGACTGTCAGATGAAAGCCGAGGAATCGGGCCTGAAGCTCCTTGTCTTGCATCTGGGCAGTTCCATTTGCCCCACGTCAGATTCCCAGCACCCCGCGCTGCCTCCTACCGACCGCCGACCGCCGTGGCCCAAAGTGCATTGCTCAGGCGGGGTCCTTCCTATTCGTCCAGTAATCTTCCGCTTCGCGCCCCCTGCCGCCCCTCTCCAGGTGTCCCGAGCTTCTGCGGAAGGCACGTCCATTTGCTGAAGGTGCCGTACTGCGTATGCGTAGTAAGGTCGCAGTTTCCCGCTGGCAGCAACGCGTGGTACGTACCTGCGAGCGACCCCGAAAAAATTCCACCGCCTTCCAACTGAGGTGGGTTGGCGCATTCGCTGAGGCGTGTGAAGCGAGGCGGCCTTGCCTTACGGTTAATCGTGGACGCCTTCTTGCTCAGCAGACTCAGTTTCAGTCATCCCAACAAGCCCCGAAGCCCAGCTCAAGCGCAGCCTTGTCGCCTCCAAAACCTCCAAGATCCAGCGGTTTCCCCATCGTCGGAAATCCCGCTTGACGTTCTCGGCTACTGTCACCAAACGCACGCGATCCAAGCGTCGTAACGAACTCAGCCGAGCCGACACACATCCTCGCGGCTAAGCAAGACAACTGCTACGAGCAACGACGCGAAAACACCATCACGATGTCTTTGTGCCAGAACAGACTTCAGGAGGAGCGGTACGGATCTTCATCCGACACATGGCACGCTCTCCGCTAACGTGTCTCAGCAAGCAGTGGCGGAAGGACCACCCCTTCGGCTTCTTTGCAAAGCCGCAGCGCAACGCTCAGGGTACTCTTGACCTGAAGGTGTGGGAGTGCGGCATCCCGGGCAAGGAGAAGACGATTTGGGAGGGCGGCTTGTTCAAGCTGACGATCACATTCCCCGAGGGTATGTACCTGATGCCAAGCGCACCTGTCATTCGCCTGAACAGCCTTCACTAACCTCAATGCTCGTGAATAGAGTATCCCACGAAGCCTCCCAAGTGTAAGTTGTTCATCTCTCTGTGTTTTGAGATGACAAGCTGACAAGCACGGCACAGGCAAATTCGTTCCCCCTCTGTTCCACCCAAATGTCTACCCCTCCGGCACCGTTTGCCTGTCGATTCTGAACGAAGAGGAGGCCTGGAAGCCCGCGATTACGGTCAAGCAGATTTTGCTTGGTATCCAGAACCTTCTGGACGACCCCAACCCCGAGTCGCCCGCTCAGGCGGAGGCCTACAGTCTCTTCAAGAAGGACAAGGCCGAATACGAAAAGAGAATCAAGCGCGTTGTGCGGGAAAACCCTGCGCCCTAGATGGGGTTCAGGATTCGACGATTAAAGCTACGAGATCTCAATGTCGTGCCCGAGAGCACGACTTCGGCGTTTGGGAAATACCAGTCGGTTTGCTTCTCTGCTTTTGGGCGGGTCAATGACGCAGCGATGGATTTGAGGATTCCAAAGATGAGGGGAGTCGATACAGGAATAGCCTAGACATTTGGTCTGCCATAGAGCCCACGAAGAAAACGATTCATCGCGCAAGGTCGAGCTCACGTGCTTTTGCCATTCGTGGATTTGAGCCAGCATGGAGAAACACACGGTGACTCTTTCGAAGGCGGATATGGCTCCATCGGTCCGTGGTGGGAGGTGCATCATATAACCGCAGCCAACCGACATGGTGGATATGGCTAAGCGGAACTAACAAACCCGGACTCCTAGGAGGGCAAGGGAGGTCGAGATTCGGAGGAGAATGCCTCCACCACAGCTTGCTTGGCAAGGTACCTGGAACCCTGACGGCGGTGACGAGTAAGGCTGTTAGAGTCAATGGGAGCGGGCGCATTACCAAACAGTAGAGACACACACTTCCGACACGCTCGCGTTGGGTTGCTGCGAATACATTGTTGTCAGGCCGCGGATGTTCTCTTTCTGCATTGGCGCTCTAGCCAACTTGCGGCGAGCCCCCGTCCGCTGTCGCTCGCGTGGCAGCATGCTGGAAAGTGTTGCCGTCGCCGTGGCACCATCCGACAGATGTGGTTCCCGATGTCAAGTCGGAGAGCCACACCGACTCGCGGTTCCTGTTGGTCGGTCGAGTTTCTTATCAGTCGGACAGGTTAGGTAATGCGCAGACTGGCGGGCTGTGAGTGGCCAGCGCTGCAATTGTCGCAGAAGCCGAGATCGGCCCAGGGTACAGCTGCGTTACACTAGCGCAGCGTCTGAGATTAGCGTATCGTGGCTCTTGCTCTGTCGATACTTCAGCCAGCGCGCTCTCGCGCTCTGCGGCCGGAGGCTTAACGAAGTACCTCATCTTATCGGCTTGCGTACCGTCAGTCAGGGCTCAACGGGGTGCTGGCCGGTGGACGCAGGCTGCGAAGTTAAAGTGTCAAGGTGCTAGGGGCAAGGGATGTCATTGTATCAGAAGAGGCCTGGGGCCGTTGCGGGAAACCGAGCAATTAGAGCAGAAAAAAAAAAAAAAAAAAATGGGTGAAGCGCAAGAAGAGTCATAATTGTTCTTCCCGCTACCACACTCCTCCGCCCGGCCGCCTCCCACCTCTCTGCTCCGTATTTATTCCTCCCGGGACGCTTCTCTTGCCTCGAGCTTGCAATCTCTCTCCCGACAACCAAAACCTCATACTCAATCGCAGCTCGAGACCGCAAACATGTGTGGAATCTTCGCCTGTCATCGGTACGTCCAGCCAAGCACGCAGCATGCGCGATCGTCCCTACATCGGCGCGATGGAGGGGCAATTGAGCTCCCCTCCAAAAAATTCCCAGGACCCCGCCATGATTTTCTTGCGGGCGAACGCGACTGACTTGATTTGCGCGCAGTCACCCCGACGTCCAAAAATTCAAGCCGACGGCCCTGAAGCTGGCCAAGGCGTGAGTAGATACCTTTCCAGACTCCCGGTGCCTCAATTGACTTTTTTCCCGTGCAGTATCCGTCACCGTGGCCCCGACTGGAGTGAGTTCTGAGTCACCACGCGATAGTCGTCTACGAAGCGCAATAAAACTGACCGATACCCCCAATGCAGGCGGTAACGTTATTGCCAACAAGACGAGTAGGTCAATTGCGATCGCAGCTGTTCGTAGCCACCTAATTGACCAATTCCCGCAGTCCTGTGCCATGAGCGTCTCAGCATCGTCGGCGTCGAGTCCGGCGCCCAGCCCCTTACCAACGACGATGAGAGCATCATCCTCGCCGTCAACGGAGAGATCTACAACCATCGTCTGATCCGTAAGGCTCTGAAGCACAAGTACCACTTCAAGACCGGCTCCGACTGTGAAGTCGTCATCCCCTTGGTGAGTCACCCATGCGCACACGCTTCAATAACCTCGCAGACAGCCTGACCTAACAAACCATATTAGTACGAGGAGTACGATATCGACGCCCCTAAACACCTCGACGGCATGTTCTCGTGGGTTCTGTACGACAAGAAGAAGGACCGCACAGTTGCTGCCCGCGACCCTATCGGTATCACCACTCTGTACCAGGGCTGGTCCTCAAAAGAGCCCGATGCCGTTTACTTTGCTTCCGAGCTCAAGTGCCTGCACTCCGTCTGCGACAAGATCGAGGCCTTCCCCCCTGGTCACGTTTTCGACTCTGCCACCGGCAAGACCACAAGATATTTTGAGCCTTCCTGGTGGGACCCCGCCAAGGTTCCCGACACCCCCGTCGACCTCACGGCCATCCGCGAGTCCCTCGAGAAGTCAGTCAGAAAGAGACTGATGGCTGAGGTTCCTTACGGTGTGCTCCTCTCTGGTGGTCTGGACTCCAGCTTGGTCGCTTCTATCGCCCAAAGAGAGACTCTCCGCTTGAAGCAGGCGGCCCTCGACGCCAACGGCGGCACGCTGCCCACCGAGAACCCCGAGACTGGCGATGGTATGGTCGGTATCGACGACGACAACAAGCTGTCAACAGTCACCTACCTGCCCCAGCTCAACTCCTTCTCAATTGGTCTGCCTGGATCCCCCGACAACAAGGCTGCTCTCGAGGTGGCCAAGTTCCTCGGCACCAAGCACCATGTCATGACCTTCACCATCGAGGACGGTCTCAACTCCCTTTCCGATGTCATCTACCACCTCGAGACATACGACGTCACGACCATCCGCGCCTCCACCCCGATGTACCTCCTTTCCCGTAAGATCAAGGCCATGGGCATCAAGATGGTGCTCAGTGGTGAGGGCAGTGACGAGATCTTTGGCGGTTACCTCTACTTCCACGCCGCCCCCGACAGGAAGGCCTTCCACGAGGAGACCGTCCGCCGTGTCAAGAACCTGCACCTTGCCGACTGCCTGCGTGCCAACAAGTCCACATCCGCCTGGGGTCTTGAGGCTCGTGTGCCATTCTTGGACAAGCAGGTGAGTTAGAATGAGATGTTTCCGACTGAAACCCCGCATGCTGACAGTTTCTCGCCTCGCAGTTCCTCGAGACGTGCATGAACATCGACCCCGCGGACAAGATGATCACCAAGGAGAAGATTGAGAAGTACATCCTGCGCAAGGCGTTCGACACCTCGGACGACCCTTCGGCGCAGCCGTACCTGCCGGAGAACATCCTCTGGAGACAGAAGGAGCAGTTCTCGGACGGTGTCGGATATGGGTGGATCGACGCGCTCAAGGACAACGCCGAGATCCAGGTCACGGACGAGATGATGAAGAACCCCAAGCCCGAGTGGGGCGACGATATCCCCGACACCAAGGAGGCGTAAGTTCCCGGCAGAATCACCACAACCATGATGTTGAGAGAAGGACGAAGGCTGACTTTGGATGACTTTTGACAGCTACTGGTACCGTCTTATGTTCGACGAGCACTTCCCGCCGCATTGCGCTTCCACCGTCATGCGCTGGACCCCCACTTGGTCCAAGCAGACGGACCCCAGTGGCAGGTGAGTCACGCACACACATATGAAATTCCACATACAGAGGGGGGAGCCTTTTGCCAGTTTGCTGACCCGTCGCATAACAGAGCCATTTCCATTCACCAGCAAAAGTACAACGAGGCATAAAGGGGCATTTAAGGCAGTAGGGAGATACCTGTATCCTAGCAATTTTTGTCAATGCGGGCGGGTAAGGTAGAGGCGTCCAGGTCCAGGGCTGGGTTAGTATGTAGACCTCAACAAAGAAGTTAAGAGTCACAAACAGTCCATGTTGTTGTTGATGACATTCCGACGACCGCGGTGTTGTTGGTTTGCGGCTGCTCTATCGCTATCGTCGCCTTTTCGATCTTGCCTAGCCAGGGGCGCTTAGGCAGGGGTCGCAAACTCCCTTGAGGGGTCTGCGCTGAAGGACCTTGCCCGTCACGGGTCGATTTTCTGGGGTCGTAATCGAGGCATCCTAGAAGGTTCCCCAACTCGATGTCCCGCGTCAGGAACCACTTTGGTCGGGCTGCCACGCTGCTTCGTGTGCAACAGTGATTGATCGATCACCCGGCATGAGACCCTCAATCAGGCGCAGATGATTGGCCTTGGGCGATTCGTACCTGAGTGACTCAGCAATTCCTTCCAGATTGCGGTGAGACCAGAGGAAACCCAAGAGCGGCAGGCAGGCGAGGTACGCGCAGCACAAGGAAATACGGATGTAAGTCATGGAGGGGGGGAAGAAGTGCTGTCAGCCTCTTCTGCCTGGGTGAGCATTCCGTTTGTTTTGGAAAGGGCAAGTGAGAATATTGCTTTCACAAACAGATTCCAGCCCAAAAACGCAGCCTCTTCTCCTAGAAATAAAATATTTCACCATTCGCCCTCCCTCCCAATTACCTCACACAAACATCGCAGCCAACCAAGCATCACAGCCGGTCGCATTAAGCATCTTGACACCCCCGCCAGCAACATCCACTCATCGCTGCTACGAACCCCGGCGGCTGGCCTTGCAATCCCAACAAACCAATAACACATCCCCCACGTGTCTCCTGATTGGGCATAGCGCCTCTCCATCACCACGAAGCTCCTCCGGACCGAATTGAGCCGGGAATCCCCGTCAACCAATTGATGCAACCAAAACATTTTCTCGAACAGCTCCGCCCCCAGCAGCAGCACATCTCCTGAAAGGACACCTGCAACCCGCCTTTTCACTCGTCGCACCTTTGTCACCTTTTGCGCTTCCCATCGTCAACTCAATTTTTTTCCCCAAGAAAAGTCCTCTTCTCAGAAATCAGCCACCATGTCTGTTCCTAACTTCGGAGATATCGCCAAGTCGTCCAACGACGTATGCGCCCTTCCCTTTCTTTTTGCTCTCCCCCGTTGATCAGGTATTCGCGGGCGTCCGGCGGGTAAAAACACACAGAAAGCTTTCTGGACTCTGTGCTTGGCCGAGGTCGCTCGCGACAAAGAAACCACTCAGCTAACATTGGCCTCCCATAGCTCCTGAACAAGGACTTCTACCACCTCTCTGCCACCACCTTCGAGCTCAAGAGCAACACCCCCAACAACGTTGCCTTCAAGGTCACCGGCAAGACCTCCCACGAGAAGAGCACCAACGGAGCTGTAAGTCGCGCTTTTGCCCCCTCGCCAACGCATCCAATGGGCCCCGCTAACCAGACCTCCCACCATCAAGATCGAGGGCAAATACTCCGACAAGGCTACCGGTACAGCAACCACCCACCGTCGTTTAGAGCGCTTTAACGTGTCCTTCGGTCCAATATACGGGCCGTTACACGGCAGCCCAGTTTCTATCAGCGCGGGCTTTCAACCTGGTTTTGCAAATTTACTAATGTTCTACCGTCGCGCAGGCCTCACCCTTACCCAGACATGGAACACCGCCGCCGCTCTTGACACCAAGGTCGAGCTCGCTGACAGCCTCGCCAAGGGCCTGAAGGCTGAGGGTGTCTTCTCCTTCCTCCCCTCTGCCGCCGCCGAGAAGCCCGCCAACAAGGGTGCCAAGTTCAACCTTACCTTCAAGCAGTCCAACTTCCACTCCCGTGCCTTCTTCGACCTCCTCAAGGGCCCCAAGGCCAACATCGACGCTGTCGTCGGCCACGAGGGCTTCCTGGCTGGTGCCTCTGCCGGCTACGACGTCAACAAGGCCACCGTCACCGGCTACGCCGCTGCCGTCGGCTACCAGGCCCCCTCTTACTCCGCTGCGATCACTGCCAGCGACAACCTGAGCGTTTTCGCCGCTTCTTACTACCACAAGGTCAACAGCCAGGTTGAGGCTGGTGCCAAGGCTACCTGGAACTCCAAGGCCGGCAACAACGTCGGTCTCGAGGTTGCCTCCAAGTACCGCATCGACCCCGTCTCTTTCGCCAAGGTTCGTTGCCCCCCACCCCCGCGCTGATGTGGGTACCAGTCTCTGACAAAGCTCCGCGTACAGTTCAAGGTCAACAACAACGGTGTTGCCGCCCTTGCCTACAACGTCCTCCTCCGCGAGGGTGTTACCCTGGGTCTTGGTGCCTCCTTTGATACCCAGAAGCTCGACCAGGCTACCCACAAGCTCGGCGCCAGCTTCACCTTCGAGGGCTAAGCTCTGTACGCTATGAAACGTGTATTCTTGAGGAAAAATTTCGAGTCCAATTCTCGGCCGCATTTCTTATTCGGGAGGCTCCTGTCTAGTGTATATCAACTGGGGAGTAATTGAGTTTGATCGACCGGGGATCCAGCGTGTCTTCAATTATGCTTGTGAAAATGTCTCCAAGTCGTGAGATTCTTGTGTGTCTATCACCTTCCCTCTTCCCCATCTATGCCTTCTTGTCCTTCTTCCGCGGCCCAACAAATATCATGTACGGGACAAGAAACGCAAAAAACATCATCCCCGCCACGCTCAAGAAGGCACCCACGGACGTCTCCTGGTGTCCCACAGTCACCTCCTGCCCCATGATCCTATGCGCCCGCCTCGAATCCTGCCGCGCCTGCGTCTGCGTGTGTTCCCGGCTGTCAAAGTGACGCACGTCCGCGCTACGCTTGTGCGCGTAGGGATCCTGTCCGAAGCCCATGCCGGGCCTCTCGGGCTCGGCGCCCGTCGCGTCGGAGGCCGTGTTGCTCTCGTGCGCGGCGCGGCGCTTGGCCGAGTGCTCGCCCCAGCCGCCCGAGCGGTAGAAGCTCGGCGGCGGGCCGCGGAAGGTCGTGCGGCGGCGGGAGAGGCCTGAGGCCGGGCGCCCACCGGCGGGGCCGGTGCTGCTGCTGTGGTAGGAGCCGCGGCGGGCGCCGTGGTGGTGGTGGGAGGAGGGGAGGGAGCGGTCGTAGGCGGAGCGCTTCGCGGGGGTGCCGAGGACGGAGTAGGCTTCTGCTATTGCGTGGAATTTGCGGGTTGCGGAGGGGTCGTTTGGGTTGTGGTCTGGGTGGTGGGTTTTGGAGAGGGCGTAGAAGGATCTGTGGTGTTGTTTGTTACTTAGCTTTATAGGAGGTTCGATTGCGATTGAAAGGGTGGCAGGTCAGAGGGCGAGGAGGACACGGGGAGCTTGGGAGCTAGGAAGCTGTGGTGGGATCATGGCTGGGGGAGCTCTACTTTTTGATCTCGGCGGGCGAGGCATCGTGGGCGACTTTGAGTGTCTCGTAGTGGTTCACGGCGGCGGCGTCATTTCGCAAGCTGCGCGACGTCGTGAAGGCGCGGGCGGCGCACGCTCGGAGGCGTGGTTGTGCTCGGTGCTGGTGTTCAGGTGTGATCGCGCCGGCGGAGCGGAGGGGACGGGCCGCTGCGGGATTGAGCCGGCGGAGGAGCATGTCCTCATGCTATTTTTCGGGCTCCGGCCGTCTGTCTTTTACGTAGGTTCAGATATTGAGAAGGCAGATTGTGTCATTTGGAGGGGAATAGGACGTCGCTAGGAAAAGACTGAGGGGGGGGGGTTGGGAGGTGAGGTGCGGAAGGGAAATGGATGCGTCAAGGGTCGCACGCGAGCTGATGGACCCTTGGACGGGCGAGCGTGGTGACGAAATGGATGGTCGGTTGGTCGGTCGGGATCGGAGGTTGGTTGGGTGAAGTTATGCGAGGACATTTATGCGGATGGTGGGGGAGTTGTGCAGGTGGGGGACTTTGTGCATGTAGACTATGAGTAGTCTGAAGGAGACTTGCTTCGCCCAACCTTCCATTGGCACTGGTTATGTTGCTTTTACTATACTTGATGTGATAAGGCGCCTCAGTTTAAGCAGTTCAATTTTATTCTTAGAAACGACAGACCAAAGACGATGCAATTGGTGAAAAGACCCATCCTGTTGTTTCTCACATCTACCGTGTCATAACATCAACTGTCTACTCCCTCACTCTAAGCTGAACCACAAAGTCTTCGTTATAAGCAATACCACCCACAACGACAATCCTGCCCTCTCTCTTCATATCAAAATCAAAGCGACGAACAGTCTAACAAGAGATTAGCACACAACCCCGCACCGCACATCATGAAACTTACCTCGGGCAATAACTTGTACATCTCCATGTACGCAACATCCTTCCCCAGGCAAACCCTCGGCCCAATCCCGAATGCGAAAATGCAAGCTTCCATCTCACTAATCGCTTCTTTCGTGTTACCCCCAACCTCCCCCTCTAACCACCTCTCCGGCCGGAACGCTTCCGGATCCGGCCCGTAAAGCCGCGGATCCCGCTGCACGACCCACGCATTAGCCGTGATCTCCGCCCCGGCCGGCACCCACGTCCCGTCCACGACCTTGCCCCCGGCCGGCGCCACACGGGCGAAGAGGTTCGTCGCGGACGGGTGCAGGCGGATCGCCTCCTTGATGCACGCCACGAAAAAGGGCAGATGCGTCCGCGTCTCTTCGTACTGAATCGTCGGGCTGAGGTGGCCCGCCTGTTCGGCAGCCGATATCTCGGCGCGGGCGCGGGCGAGGGCCAAGGGATGTGTGAGGAGGAAGCGAAGAGTGCTACCCAGGGCTGTGCCTGTCGTGTCGGCGCCGGCCTGAATGAGCAGCGTGACATGTGCACGCTTCTGCGAGGACGTCAGGGGCTTCCCGTCGATGCGGGCTTCAAGGGCTCTGTGGTTTCTGAGAGTCAGACAACAGACTTCACACCCCATCTCAGTCTCTTCTGCAGTAAGGTAACTCACAGCTGCATGAAATCAGGCTTTTCCTGCGTGAACGCCTCCTCCTCCATCCGCCGCTCCCTCTCCGAGACCTGCCTGTCGGCCTGCGCCATGAGGTAGCCCATGCCGACGTCGTCGCTCGTGCTCGGGAGGAAGAAGTGGCCCCACCAGACGCGGGTGACGCGGTCGCGCAGCCAGCGGAAGCGGTTGACGAAGCCGAAGGAGAAGAGGCCGCGGCGCCAGCTGGCGAGCATGTTGCGCTCGTCGCGGGAGTTGGTGACGAAGCCCCAGGGGTCGGTGAAGGAGACCATTGTCATGATGTCGGCGGCGAATTCGCTTTTTCTCGAGAATTAGCACGCGGAGGTAGTCAGATGGCTGCAAGAAGGTGGTTGCTTACGCTACTTTGTCAGAGAGGACTACGGGCTCGTTGTTGCGGGCAAAGTCGGACATGCGGCTGATGAAGAGCTGGATGTGGGAGTCGAAGCGCGATTCCCAGTTGTTTTTGAGGCCGCCGATGGACCACTGACATTGACATTAGTAGATGGAGAAGTTAAGTGACATTGATGGAGAGGACAGCACCTGAGGCCCTCCAAGAGCTTTCCTAAGAGACTTGTGGACGTTTCCATCGAGGGTCGAGAACAAGTGCGGCGGACCAAGAGAGCCTGTGCCGTAGAACATGGACTTGTTGTTGCATTTTGGGTCCCAGTAGATGTCTTTGAGGGCAGCTGACTGAGGGAACAGAAGAAGGGTTGGTGCAACGCGGATTGGCTTATCGGCTGTGGATGATGAGCTGAAAGGGTCTCATGGCTGAGGTCTACACTTACTTCCGTATTGTTTTGACAGCCAAAGCATCCATTCCGGCTCATATTTCATGACGGAGATGAGAGCATGAACTAGAGAGAAGGACGCTGCATACCATGGACCATGGTACTTGGAGAGCGGGTGGAAGTAGAGATTATAGACTACGCGAAGAATGAGAGCTGCGGAAATGGCAAGCAGGCCGATTTCGAGGATCGAGCCTGAGGATGGTATGGGAATGCTTGCAAGAGCCATCGTGAAAGTCAATTGGCTTTGGTTCTAGGCAGACTTGTAGCCATGAGTTTCCGACAAGGGGCAAAATCTCGAGACAAGGCAAATGCCCCCTTTTCTATATACCTTTCAAATGCTTGGCGGCGGCAACCGCGTATCTCTTGTGCTCTCCTGATCGTCCATCATGCGGGGTATCGCCAGACAACTCCCAATACCAAGAGAAGCCCCCGCGACCACCCTTCCAATGACACATTCTCCAACAGAGACACGCAGTCAGCACAGCGAGCCATCACCTTCGCCGTGTTCACATCTCATTGCTCGACGCCGCAAGTGTGGATGGAAGACCACCAACCCTGACGCTGTTTGTCATACACATCCACGGCCGCGGCACGGGAAGGGCGGCGAATCCGACTTCACCGATTACCCAGCACGACATGCGCGACATATTAAAAAGCGGGCGCGGATCTGCCCGCGATGGATTTGCGGGATTGTTGGTGTTGCCTCCCCTCCATTTCACGGCTTTTACCCGGGCGCTGGGCAAACAATGTCTCTCCCGTATCAAGGCAGCCGGTGTCGATCTCATGCACGCCTCGGACCCGATTAGTGCTGACGCGCTGCAGATGCATACAACTTTGTTTGCACGTACATGACGGAGGGCGGGTCGCTTTTGTGACTTGCCTGTTTGGTCGTCGAGGGCATTTGTATCATACGTTGCGGCGGATTTGAGCTTGGTCGGTTTCTCAGCATTGGAGATGGAGTTTAGGTCTTCGAAATGGGTACATTGGTTGCACCTTCATTAAGGACTTCGGTGTTGATCATCAAGGCTAACAAGGTGTTGACGATGTGCAAGTCTACCCGTTCGGGTGAGATCTTAGTAAGCCCGTAGCTCGGAAACATTTCGTACACTTTTGATGTCATACTGTCAAGTCTCCAAGACCGAGCCATCGCACTATTAAGTATACCTAGTCTCGAATATTCAAATCTCTTCCATCTTATTACGGTTTGTCATCAGACGTCAGTAGCGGAAACTTGCACCACAGCTCTCGAAGGAAAATAGTTTGACAATCATAGAGAAGGTATTCGACATGGACTCAATCCAATCCAAAATCCTCCAAATCTCTCCTACAATCTCTTACAAGTACTACGTCTCGAAACCTTCCAAATCATCATTTCCAACAGCCCTCTTTCTCCATGGCTTTCCCTCCAGTGCTGCCGACTTCGCCCCGCAACTCACCCACCTCATCTCCCTCGGCTACGGCATCCTCGCACCCAATCTCTTAGGTTACAGCGGGACATCCAAGCCTCATGACCCGCAAGAATACATCTGGCGCACGATGAGCGCACATATTGCCGCCATCCTTGACGCCGAGTCTCTAGAGGCTGTAGTCGGCGTCGGTCATGACCTCGGATCATGGTTTCTCAGCAGACTTTACCACTTTTACTCTTCCCGCTTCCGAGGTCTGGTCTTCCTGGACGTCGGGTATGCTGTGCCCGGCCAGAAGTTCGATGTTGAAATGATCAACCGAATGACGAAGGAGATGACAGGGGAGGAACGCTTTCGATACTGGGATCTGTTCACGGACAAAGGCGGGGTGGAATTGATGGATCGGAATGTTGAGAGCGTGGTGTCGCTGATGCATGCCTCCCCTGAAGTCATGGCTGCGAATCTTGGACCCAAAAATAAGGCGAGAGAGTGGGTTGCTGCCGGGCGTATTGCGCAGAGTCACCTCTTCGGTGACGAAACAGGCAGCTACTTTGAGGATAAAGTGGCCATGTTCAGAGAGGGTGGCTGGACTGGGCCGACAAATTGGTACAAGGCTCTGAGAGAGAATATGTCATGGGAGGACGAAAAGAACATGAAGAAGGGGCTTGAAGTTTCAGTGTTGGTCGTGGGATGTGGGAGGGATGAGATGACGGTGGGTGGGTTGCAGGACCAAATGACAAGGCCGTGGGCAAAGGGCGGATACAGGTTCGAGGTGCTTGATACAGGGCACTGGGTTATGCTTGAGGACGAGAGTGGTGTAAATAGGCTGTTGGTCGAGTTCCTCCAAAGTCTATGACACGATCTAGTGCTATATTAGTAGACAACTCCCAAACTAACATTCTCTATACCGCTATATCAAAATAACTAACAGTCTGTCATTTACAGGACCTCAGCGTCATATTCGTCTCTTGCAACAGCAGCTGACCGACTCCATGGCAGGTGGCACCGTGAGAGATGGCTTATCGGGCGGGTTGACAGGCCTCTGCTCCTTCAATTGCGATTACCTACGAGGAGCACGCGTGCATCTGCACAAAGTATGCTTCAGAGGGGGAGTGATGGAGGTATTGAAAGACGGTTAGGCCGCTAGACAGCGCTGTAGATCAGGATAGGGTCACGGTGTTTTATTAAAAATATTATGGGTCTAGAAAGCTTCGTCTTGACTCCCGGTCACAGACGTTGCTGTAGGATCTCAGATTCATAGAGAACGCGACTTCGATAAGCGTAACTAGTCCATATGATCTGAACCTGAAAGATCGTTGGCACAATGCAGGGGTTGATGGGAAATGACCAGGGTTGTTTGCGCTAGCAAAACACACCTGCCCGAATTCCTAGGGTGACCCGCAGATACAAACATGCAGTCAGTTACTTACACTCTCTCCAGTAGCTCCAACACATGCGCGGATACTAAAAAGGACTTGTCCATCCGCCGAGTCCTTGACTGGACCGTGTTCCTCTTCTTCATCTTCAATCCATGCTATTAGTGCCTCCGACTGAGATAACTGATTTCATTTGACAGGATGGACGATGCGTTCATAGTACGGCCGCCGCCGGGCGACGACCATCGAGACGCACTCCGTGGCCACCGGCTGCCGACTGATCTTAGCCAATGGGTCTCGGCGTGCGTGATACACGGTATTCGGCACCATGAAGCTTTTGCAACGTCGGAAGTCCAGAGGCTCTGCTCAGAGTCGCACAACAAAGCCATTTCTCGCGCCCGCAACGCTCGGCTTATTATGAGCAACACCATCCCTAACATGGCATCCGACGATGACAAGCCGTATTGCATTTGGTATCCAGACGTGGCTAGCGAAGAAACGTACCGTCAACTGGCAAAGCGTTACCCCGACATGCGGTATGTGGTCGGCCGGGCCTGTGCCGTAGCTGGCTATGCCGGCCTCTACGACGAACTCGGTCTCCTGCCTGAAATCTCCATCGCGGAAGAGGCCAGAGACAATTTCTCAAACGAAGGATCTAAAGCCATATTCGACACGATAATGCGCCAGCCTGTGTGCTACAAAATTCTCGACGACTACTCCCGGTCTTCCCACCCCGACAGGCCGACCTCGCCCGCGTTTATGAATGGTGACACAGCTGTGCGGTCTTCGTTGGACGTCCGACTCGGGCTAGACAAGTACCAGGATTGGGGTAAGCACTACTTCAACATCGCCGAAGACTACAACATCGACGAAACCTCATCGGAAAAGACCAACAATGAGGAACTCGCCCCTGAGCACATTGCGTTGTTCTACACGCCCCTCCTCTCGCACCTGCCGACCACCAACAAGGATGCTTTGATCCTCATGGCGGCTTATGAGGGGAATATTGAACGATATGTCCGCCTCCGCCGGCCAAAAATGCTCCACGACGAACACGCGGCCGTCCTTCGCGGCATCTACCACAACACCACATTTGCTAAGTGGTGGTATCTTCAGGAGATCGATCCAAGCAGCCGCTCCATCAGGGCCGCTGCCCTGGCGCGCTTCATCATGGTCAACGACCTGTCACACATCACACCCTCCAGCCCCAGCAAACACCAAGTGCCCGCGATGATCTGGTGGCCCCTGATTCCAGAGGAAGAGACGCTGAAGGAGCTCGTCCGCCGCCGGCCTGATATGAAGTTGCAAGTGGCCATGGCATGCATCGCGGGCGACTACAGGGCTCTCTGGGAGGATCTCGCGCCGCCGCCGTGCTCGGAGCTCTGGGACCAGGCGCGGCAGGCACAGACTCGCAGCTGGCCAAACAGCCCCAACAGAAACTACTATGTCGACTACCTGGAGCAACATGCCAAGGAAGTGAGGTGCGATATTGTGGACTTGCGAACAAACTCCGAGTGTGAGGACGCGGCTGTCCGCAATAAGGAGCCGACGACGACGTGGCTCGACTCCGGGATCTATGCCCATGATTTTGCGCTGATGAACTCTAATCCCGACGAGGACGTTTATTCGACCACGGGTCAGGCTAATGCGGCTAGTTGGGAGTTGTTGATATGCTCAAGCGAGGAGATGAGGCGGCGGGCGCGGGAGGAGAACGGTCTTAGGCTGTACGACGACTAGGTACTTCTAACTAGAGTTTCTAGATAACTAAGCGTCATCTTTACAAGTCGCTATTTCGTGAATGCTTATTAATCTATACTCTCTTAGCAGTTAATATCTGTAGCTTGAGTAGGTTAATATATAGGAAATCTTTACTACATCAAAGCTTAGAGCTAAGTATTACTAGTAGTTAGATCGATTGCAACTGATAAATCTATTGCAAAGTAATAATTCTTGGTTCAATCCTCAGATAGAACAGGAGGGCAGGTATGTGGTTATCGGGGGCCTGGGAATCAGTGAGGGCTTAGTGGCTTGTGTACGCTTGAGAGACTAGGTTACGCGGAAGTGAGACTGTTAGATTTCGAGATGAACTGCGGACGGAATTGCTCTGGATTTGTATTGATATTCCAACGGTAATAGGCGCCCCCTGCAGGAAGAACGGGACCACGATAGCATGCACAAATGCATTTTTCAAATCAGAACAATGTCTTGAAGCCCGCGCTCTTCGAACATATATCCAGGTTGGCACACCCCATCCCGATCCAGAAGACCGAGGCATTCATGTATGTTGCGTTCATTAGCCGTTTCGAATGAGATGTGAAAGCATTCTGAGCGACGAAATTTGGCTTGGTCTCCTGTCCCAGGGACTAATTGTAGCAAGAGACCAACTATCCCCTTGTGATTCCATGTTCTCTTCAAGGGTAGCAGATGAGTGGAATCATTCAACGGCCACGCCTGATCATGCGCAATGTTCTCAACCAGCTCGGGACTCAGGGACTTCTTTTCCTGCCATGAGGAAAAGCTGCTGACTGCTTTCGATTTGTAGGTCCTCCAGAAGCCAGTGCTGGCAAGCATATCTGTGCTGACCTTTCTCAATGGTCCACGGATGGCAAGACCCCGTACAGCGGACGTTTCAAGCGAATCCAACTGGAGGTCGGATTTGAAGCCAACAGTGTCAGAAAGTACTCTGAGAGAGATGCAACTCAGCTTAGTGTCTGTGCTGTTAAATTCGGGCTTCAAGCTGTAAATCTATGTCTCGAGTTCCCCGCATAAAGAAGCCCATGACCAAGACGGAACTAGTTGCGTTGTTGGAAAGCCTTTTATCTGGCGGAGAGCGTATCTTCTGGGGGTCCACAGCAACGAGTTTATAAGATCTTTCTCCCAGAAACCCGCAACGAAGTTATCGTCTAGCAGCTCGCCCACAGTATGCGCCAAACCAGCCACAGCGGCCAAGCGGTCTTTTTCGAAGGTGATGTAAGTGCCGGCGTAGTGGTTCGTAAAGTCTCTCCAGAACGAGTACACAGATTCCTCGTCATCTTTCTTCAACGACCGTATGTTGCCCTCTGGAGGATCAAGACCTTGATACCACTCGGCGCAATCACCCAACGGAAACGTTTCGTTGGCTATGAGCTGACTACATTCCCACCAGATCTTTCCTGGTGTGTAATGAAGGATGCTGGGTGACAAAGCTCGTTCTTGGGCGACCCACGCTCGGGAATTGAGGTCGTTGAAAGTGATATGTTTTTGGTAGTCGATGAGATCAATATCCATGTAAAACCCATTGAACCGGAGCTCCTTCAACTTCCAGTCGGGTCTCGTATCGTCAACTAGAAGGCAATCGACATACCATAGACGATTCGCAAATGGCAATAGGGGTCGCTCCCCGAACAGCCCCGTTTCGCCATTCTGGTAACTGGTTGCCGCGATATTGCATGCCGCGTATCTATAAACGTCCCCCATCATCTTCAATTCATTAGTCCAATCCCCCTTCGAGTCTTGAATGATGCAAAGAGAATCTATCCAGATATGTTGGATACCAAGCTCGAAAGTAACGTCCATTGCATCTTTGAATGTATTCGGTAGCTCATGAACGGGCACCTCCTTTTGAAATGTTTCGTAGTTAACGCTTGTCGTTTTCAGAAAGTTGCCGTTTCCCCAGCAATGACTCAACGTCGCATATGGAGTAGATATTGGTAACTCGTTTGTCTGGCAGATTTTGGCTGAAACGGTATGTGAACCGTGTGGTCTCCAGACATGAAGCAGACGGGTCGGCAGAACGCGTGAATCCAGCTTCCAAGTCCGACAAGTAGTGTGATCTCTCGAACACTGTTCATACCAGCTACGCGCAAGTTCCATACTCATTGCAGATCTTGCACTCGTTGTCTTGGGGGCAGGGTCTGGCGCTGTTCAGCTTTAATCGTAATAAGCCACCTGTAATCATAGAGCGTACCTTGAAAGAACTCCGGCCCAAGACTCGATTTCCAGTTGGTTAAAGAGTTAAAAGTCATGGATGCAAGCAAGTTGGGACTTGCATACGGTGGGCCACACCGAGCGCCTGTCACCTTGTGCCCTTCGCTGTCAAATAAATATAACGAAAGCGAAATTTCGTGGCCAGTCAATTTGATATCATCCGCAATCTTCATGGTGCATTGGATAGAACAAGCATCGCTCACACCAGTCGCCATTTCGGATCCATCGAAACTCTGCAGAAGACTTTTACAGAGATAGCACCTGGCGCTTACAGATCTTCGCAAAGACGATACGGAATGATGGTATGGGCTCAAGTCTGTGTGTAGTTCTTCGTCGTTGAGTATTATGGCGATTCTTCCCTTGGGAAATTCGCGGCAGACCGAGCACAACTTTGACACCACTTGACCTAAAGCGAGCACCAACGGTGCCGGTAAGTCTGTTTCGGACTCATTTCTATGACCGTAGGAAGACGTCGGTTTGGAGTAGCCATTATCTTTTATTTCCAAGGCGACATCTGGTGTTTGAGATGGTGCCGTGAGCTCGTTGTTTTGCATATTGAAAAAGATTCCTGGGAAGAGGTGGCAGTGTCAGCTCAATATACGCAGTTGCGGTAAGCATAGTACCTGGGTCAGAAGAAGCGACCTTGGCTAAAGTGTCGCGTTCGTTGTCTGCAACTTGGTTAGAAACTTCGAAATCCCCTCAGTCGGATGCAACTCGGCTTTGGGTGATTGGAAGAGCCCGATTGTTACGTAATGGCAGAAACGAATCCAACAGTGTGATCAGCTGGCGCTTATTGGACGGGCAATTGCAATGAACGCTTTATGCATCAGGATGGGGCCAGAAACGACGGGGACTGCAACTTGATCGGCCAATACTCCCGAAGCGAGCGTTGGTTTTGCTTGGTCGGTCCTTATTCTCTAACCACATCGGCAAAGTCAGATAGATGGTACATGGGGAAAATCATGATAGTCACAGGAAATTACAGAAGAGAATTGGAGAAACTTTGGTCAAATCGGTTTTATTTTCTTTCCATACAGATACAATTGTTCAAAAGAGTCTTTCGAGAAGAAGGTGCAACTCGCCATTTGTCAGACCCAGCACCAGTCTCTGAAGGTCTCACAATGGGTATCATGGCGCCCCAGTACAAGAATAGAAGAATACAAGCTATGTTACGTCCATGCATTTAGAGATGCTTAGTGACGCTTGGCCTTGCGCTTGCAGGAGCCTCCGGAAGTAGAGGGAGTGGCAGAGACAGCAGAAGAAGAGACAGAGCTGGCAGGAGGAGCACCACTGGGACCAGCACCGCTAGGAGCAGCGCCGCTGGGGAAGGTGCCGTTGGGAGGGCCACCAGCTCCTCCAGGGCCACCGCCAGAGTTTCCAGAGGAGGTGTCGACACCGCCGCCGGCATAGTAGTGAGCGGCAGCGCTGGCAGAGCTGGAGTAGTCGGCAGTGGTGTTGATACCAACGGTGATCCAGGCCAGAACACCCTGAGAGATGTCGTCGCCGAGGAGAACGTACTGGACAAACGGGTCGTAGTCATCGGTGGCCTCGCCGAAAGCAATGCTATCGGCAGAGTTCAGAGTCAACTCCTGCTGGTTGGTGCTGTAAGGGGTGACGGCCTCAACTTCGGAAATGAGGGACTGATCGAAGAAGAGCTGGCCGACATGGTTGGTGGTACCGTCGACATAGGTATCATTGTCGAGGACGGTAGCGCCGGAGGTGCTCTTGACGTGAATGTGAGTAGCACGGCCAGTGTAATGGCCCGGGAACATGGTATCAAACTCAACAACACCATCGTCATTGGTCTGCTGAACACCGCGACCGAAGGTGGAGTTGAGGCCGCCCTGACCTGTGGCGGAGACACCGGAGTAGACGCCGGTAGCGTTGCAGTGCCAAGCGTCGATCAGGATCTCGGGCACTCCAGCACAGGTAGCGACATCAACAAATTGGACATCGAGATGCAGAGGCACACCAGACTGGCCATCGGTCATCTCGCTGCGGATGAGCTCGCCAGCAACCCAGTAGGGACCGATAGTGGTCTCGGGAACGACGACACAGCTAGCATTCTGGGCGAAGAGAGTCGCAGGGTCGGTATCGAGAGTGTATCCCGCCGAAGAGGCGTGATCAACGGCCGCCCAGGTGTTCAGGTTCTCCTCAGTGCGGCGGCGGATGGGGGCTGTAAGTCGATTTATTAGTATTCCAGAAATTGATTTTGAATCCACGAAAGAGCTTTTGAGACTTACCATTGGCAGCAATAGATCGCTTGGCGCGGAGCTCCTTGAGCTTGGCATCACGACGCTGGATGGCGCGCTGCTTGAGGGCGACATCGGCGGCAGAGCCGGCACAAGCGTTGAGAGCCCGGCGGTTGTTGGCGGCAACGGAGCGGCGAAGAGCCATCTCACGCTTGTGGACCTGGGGGTCATGCTCCTCACCCGGGTGAGCAACAGCTCCGGTCAGGAGGAGAGAGGCCGCCACGGCGACGCGGGTAATGGCAACCATGGTGATTTGGGTTGAAAGTTAAATGTCGAAAAGGAGAAGCCGAAAAAAAATGTTAAAACCTCGAGCGAGAGGAAATTGTAGAGCAACCGATAAGGAGCGAAAGAAGACTGGTGGTGGTGAGAAAAGAAGAAGAGAAGTTCATCCACTGCTTCTCATCGTACTTATGTACACCAGCTCAGCAAGGGAAGACATCGCCATGATGATTTGTCTCCCGACTACCGACTCCAGTTGGCAGGGCGAGTATGCTTCCGCAATCTTTTGCAAACTGCGTACGTAGCGGTGACTCGTCATCATCTTTGTGCCACAACATGGGTTCTGGCGTCGGCATAGACTGTAAACGGGTGCGATTGAGGCTGTAGTCAAATGCCAAGCCACGGTATGTGGGAGCTTAGGCGGCGGAGGGTGTATCTTAGTGCGACTCCCGTACTTTGCGGGGAAGCACCGACGAATCAGAGCGGCCTTAATTAAATCACCTGCACGTCCGAATGGTTCGGATTTTTTAAGGAGTAATTAAGCCAGGGGTTAAAGATAAAATCAAGCGTAATGCCTTGTGGGGTCTGTGGATAGCATCTCCTGTGCTCTTCCACCGTAGCGCGCCTTCTGGACCAATTGTCTCGGGTGACGAGCAAACGCTTTCCAGAATAGACGTTTACTACGGAGACGCAGTCAGGTTTGTACGGTCCAGCCGTGTCTTGCATCATGGCTATCGACATACCAGGGTTGTGGACTCGAAGCTAGGGTAGCACAAGTTCCCAGCCGGGCTTAGCTTCTGTCTTGTACGCGTACGCCAGCAGCCCGAGAGCAGCTCGCCGTTCTTTCTAAGCAAATTTACTATCGTGAGAATGTTTTCCCTCATTGAAATGTTGGGGCGTCTGCCACTTCACATGTCATTCGGTGCGTATGACAGAATGAAGGGATCATTGACCTGATCTGTAGTGCGACGACCAATGGATTCATGTTTTGCATTGATCTCCGTTGCTCCCACTTCACGAGACTGTTTGCAGTTCTTGGGAGCTGTTCATGGCGGGTGAATTCATACAGATTCATAATACGCTGTGCCAGAGGCTGAATAACGAGTGCATACCGGGCCAGCATTTGTCATCCCAGAGGCCAGAGAAGAACGTTATTGGGACCGGAAATAGGAAGTCGAACCAGTCCAGCGCCGCTGGCGACGTTAGTGAGAATTTTCGAATTATTCCAATTATCTATAGAGTGAGCTATTACCAATAATCCTCTGGTGACTAGGAAACAAGGTCGATGATAAGTTCAAGGAAGGAAAAGCCACCTTTAGTATCAAGCAAGAAGATTAGGTCTCACATGGTGTCTTGAGAACGAAGGCGAGATCTTTGGTCGCATCACGATATTCGCTAGATGTTTTGGGGTCTTTGAAGACTGAACGGACTGGTTTGTCGTGCTGAGAACCAAAGATTAATGAAGAGATGGGTTGACGAAAGAAAAGCCGCCACATGCGAAAAAAGCCTCTTAACCAAAGAGGTTTACTACAAGGGCCCTCAAATCTAGACTTCAAAAGTTTTATTATTAACTTTTACGTAGAATCGTCACTTTTGACTCTATTTCTCTGGTTTCTAAGCTTTCCTTTCCTATTCCTCTTTCTGTTTCTCTTGCTACTCCTAATATAGTAGACTATAATAAGTACCCAAAGCTGTGTTTCTACTCCTATGTCTTTGGCTGAAATAATATGCAGTTAAACGCCAGACTCACAACAAAAATGTTCGCCTGGCCCACTTTGCCATTTGAGATCCGCCAGGTCATTCTCGAGCTCGTCATCAGTCACCAGAAACCAAAGCGCGACCTTGGCGAGCAACCAGACGGACGAGGCACTGCTATATTCGCAACGGTCTGCACGGAATGGCAGTCTTTCTTCGAGGCAAAACATTTTGGGATGCTGTTATTGACTCAGCAATGCCTCTCAGACTTCAAAAGAATCGTTCAGGGTCGAAGGAGAAAACTGGTCAATCATGTTTGGCTTCGCATCGAGCTCAATCCTTACGACTGCAGATCGTGCCGGCTAGTGGAAGATCCCCTGGACGGGATCAGCAATCGGGTGATCTTTACAGATGCTCTCAAAGTGCTCTTTGGATGTCTAAGCACCTGGAATGACTCCAGTGACCGAAGCGACAGAGGTTTGACGCTAGAGTTATCTGCGTACTCCCCGAGTGACGCAGAACACTTTTTCAAAGAGTACGACTTTACGCACAATCCCTACTCAGATGCGCCAGGGAACTTCCAGGCAACTTTAGCCGACAGAACGCATCCCAAGTTCCACGACCTCAATCACTTGTGGGAATCTGGCCGACGCATAAATGATGACCAAAGAGTGTTTTCACATTGCCTCCGCATTCATGGTCTAAAAGGTCTCTGTATCGTTCCACCAAATTATGACGATAGTCCGCCGTTTTCTGCTGAGAAATGGTTACCAGAAGTAGGCGTTGTTACCAAATTACTTATCAGGAGGCAAAATTACCGACTGATCCATCCTGATGGTCTCGGCCAAATCCTCGAGAGATTGAAAGGGCTCCAAGATGTCGTATGCGAAACCCCGCAAATCCCTTCGCACCAGGCTCAGGCCACATTCGACAGCCGTAAGTCCCATTATTCATTTCTTCTTTTCTACAGAGACATTTCCCGCTTGACTCTAAGTCACGCAAAGTCCAATCTCTTGCTGCTGACTGATGACGCAATGCAGGGTATTGTCACATATTCAGGGATTGGATACCGACCACTTTGAAGCGTTTAACACTATTCGAAGACTTTGATAGGAATTTCTTTTCCTGTCTCAAATACTTATTAGAAGATTACGCAACTCGGCTCAATAATCGGGAGCTTGGTCTAGCTCTGATCTCTGCTAGCAAAGATTTGGAGAGCCTAACCGCGTCCTTTATCGTCGACGCTGAGGACTTTCTTTATCCATTCAGGCCTAGAGATGACTTAGACCCCACTGAACAGAGAGCCGGGATTCAGGACTCCTGGGACTGTCTCGAAACGTTGGCGCTCACGTCGCAAACATTATCAGCACGTCAATCCTGGAGCAAGGTCAATAATCTTCTTCATGCTGCCGCCAATGCAGCTCGGAGAATGCCCAAGCTACGTGTTCTGGAGATCTGGTATGGACGCGGCACAGAAGAAGGCTGCATTTTCCGTTACAATCGTAATGGCGGTAAGATCTTCCTCGAGCAATCTTTGATTCTCTGCCTATGTGGAACAAAGATTGCCAGACCGAGATATGTTCACGAGGGCTAACTCACTTGATAGGGAATGTCACTTGGCAGAGTACGTGGTCGTTTGAATTTGCTCCTCGGGTTCTCAGTTCATGGGCCGAGACAATTGAACAGCACTCTGGCGATCGTTTCGCATATTGTGACATGCTAAAGGTTGAGGGAATGGGGCTGAACGGTACATATTTCCCTGCGTCTGTTTTGCGCAGTCTATGGTTGAAGGACTTGGCTGTTCATCGGGTATCTTTGCGTCAACTGGAGATCATGGGAGATCAGCCGTGATATTGAAGGCGCGTAATCATTCACAACGATCACGTGCAGGAAAAATACATGCAAGGTTTCATCATACAAATTATGAATTGAAAGTCTGGGACGAGGGCATTATTCGAGCTATTGCAGGGCATAAGAGTAGCATATAAAGCCTGGTGCGCGACGACGTCATTGGCTCTCTAAATCACCAGTGGCGCGCTTTCCACCATCTCTTACCAGAAGCAGGCGTAAAATTCAACGCTCTGAGGGAGACCGTTTGCCTGCAGCCTACATAGAGGACCCCAGTCATTCTTCAGTCATATATGCCATTCCCTTGTGAGTTTCTTACTCTGCTTGAATACACTTCAGTTGACAGCGGCCCAAAATACCAAGCTGGAGACGATGAGGTCTGCGGGTTAGCTCTGCAGTGTATGCTCGCAACATCGTGGATCGTGGCAAAGGTTAAGTCGCATTCTGGTCAGAAAGCAGAATCCAGCGTAGACAACCAAACACATTCGCCGCTTGTTCTAAAGTGAAAACTACCATTAGAAGCCTTTTATTTACCATTTTCCTCTCTCCATCGCCAACCAAACCACCCACACCAAGACCGACTTCCCAAAGACATTCGCTGAAGATTGCATACGAAACCGGCATGCAAAGTTTTGAAAGACGTTAATCGATAACGATGGCCCTACGGTCCATCTCTTGGAGACATTATGAGCCAACGACTCGCTCGACGCGGCCCACATGAAGTCAAAATAACATCATTACCTACTACTCCCTACTCCAAGATACTGACCGCCGTCCAGCATCTTTGCGTCTTTCTCTCTTATTCCAGACCTTCACACCAGTGGACAGATTGCCTGACTTTCCTACCACACAGGCGCGCGCGGTTTCTCAGACTCGAATGGGGCCATCGTCTGTCGTTTCAGGCGGGGGCAAGATGCATGGGCTTTTCACTATCCATGTCTGTCATGGCCAGTGGAATTATTGAAGAGTACGCCATCTCATGGGGCTCCATTATATACTTGTTTGAAGTCCTTTGGTCGGAAATGGAAGGTAGGTAAAGCGCTGGCGAAATAGAGACCGCCTGCATTACTTCTCTGTTCATGAGAAGCGTATAATAGCTGTCCGCCATATTGACTCGGTTGAGGTAGTTAAAGACTTCATGGTCTGCTCTCTGGGTGCAGTAGCTTGTCATCATCATTTTCTCTTTGATCTTGGTTATCTCTCGTCATCGTCATCGTCGTCGTCGTCGTCGTTTCTCTTGATCTCCTCCTCCCAGATAGCCAACAGCATACGTGCGATAGCAAACTACTATGTAAGTGACCACAAGAGGACCGCAACATCAGAGTATCACAACTGTCATCTTTAGATCACACACTCACTCGAGAAGAATCCGTGAAATGCTTAAACACAGACCTGGAGGGTATTCAATCTATCAACAAACGACCTCCGAAAAGAGGAGGCCATTCTACACCACACAAATTACTTTTCTGCGTCTTTTTTTTGTTT